ATCAATGAAACGTAGGACAACGACTTCTTTTAGCCTTTCTTAAATATTTGATTTGAACCCAGGGACTGAAGTTCAACGTTCTATCCAGTGATTGTTGCCTCCACTTTCTCAAGGTAGTAAATAAAATTAATTGATTTATATTTCAGTCGCGACAGTTATTTCAAATATAGTTTCGACGAATGATTTATCCTATTTCTGTCAAACCATTCGTTCAAATATTGACGAACGTTCATATAGTTATTTGGTTTGCGTTGTTATAAAATATCACTGTCATGGATATAGCTACTTCGTTATCATCACAATACAATATATAGGAATTAACATATCGCCCATAAACGACTTAGTTTTTAGTTTTTTTTAAGATTTCCGATTTTTTGTCTTCTAAGACCAGCACTTGAAGATCCTTTTTTGACTGAACCAGTCAGTCACAACGTGTAACCTTGTACGTATGCACCTCGGTTCAAGTTGCCATACCACATCAGCACAGAAAAATAAAAAATTGTCAAGCCAAATCCCAGAATAGTACAGGTAGTAGCAGTTTCAGTGTTATTAGGAAAGATGAGGCATCGAAGATACGATTCGAGTAAATATAAATTAGTAAAATAAAAACAAAAAATAGTTGAGTTTAGAATATCAGAATTTGGAGGAAGACGGAGGACGGATGCATCTGCGCCATGGCAAACGATTTTGAACCACGCTATTCAAAGTCCCCAACCACGTATTAACATGGCACAGTTCAGTTATCAGTGTCTTCATGGTTTGGTCACCCCTAACTTTCTTCCAGCCTGCTCCTACACCAGAAAACATTGTCCATCGAGGTAGGCGGGCAACGACAATTACAATGACAGTTCACCATATGCTCTGACTCGGCCAATAGTGTTTGGATAGAGAGCCTGTACAAGGTTAACGTGCTTCTTTGGTACTCCTTTCGATGACAGACTTCCGTAGAACCTCACTGTCAACGGCGTCGAACGCCGCCTTAAGGTAAAGACATACAACCATAGTTGGACGTTAAAAATTATCTATGTTCCAGGACCTGTCAAAAGGTGGATATTTAGTCTATACATCCATATCTGAAACCAGCCTGGTTTCCACGGGTTTGCTCTTCAAGAGATCTGGTTAAGTGTTGAAATATTGTTGAGGTCAATATTTTAGACACCATATTAGTTAAACTGACTTCTCAGTGATTGTCACAAGATTACTGTTCTTTCTCAAAAACTAGGGCGACCAGCGATTGAGACCAGTTGGGTGGGATTACGTCCATTTCCCAGAGTTTAGCCAAGGTCTCAGTCAATCTAACTTCTGAAACTGGACCACCATCCTAAAAACTCCCAGAGGTGAGTACCCCAGGCCCTACCTCTCTTCCTCACTTTAGGCTACGTATATCCTTTTCAACCTTATTCAGAGTTGAAGGACATACATCAATTTGCCATTCAAGCTGTTTGGAGGTAGTGGGTAACTGAATTGCGATTGACGGCCAGTTGAACTCTTCCATAAAGTTTTTCGCCCATCAGTTCAACCTCCTGGACCAAGTGTGAATAATCACATTTTTTTACGAGATAGTTTCACTAACAGCCGGATTCGTAATACCCGTTTACTTTATAAGTCTGAAAAGTTGTCCACTGTTACTTATCGCTGTCGTCTTTTTCACCTCTTCAAGTTTTTTTACTCTCTACTGCCGATGATCATTTCGTTGGCTTTTTATCTGCCTATTCTTGAGCTGTCTCTCCTCTTCACCTTATTTGGAGCCAGATGAGATGAGTGCTTCAAAATATTCTTAGGACTTTTGTTTTAGTCATCTTGAGAAATAAAAACATGTAATTTTCTTTTGTTGAACGGAGAATCAATACAAGTCATTCAGTGTTTCAGTTTTTCACGTCTACAACCGATGATGGCCAGCGCTTGTTTATCATTCATAGTTAGTGTATATATTTCTTATAGTACAGTAGTATGTTATTTGATTCCGGTAGCACTTTCTTTCTGTAAACTGTCATACATTAATTTTTGTACGTGTCCTCTACAGAAGAATGGGAAGTGATAATAGAATGGCTTGTGAGAAACTTATACACGGATATCTGAGAAAATGCAATGAGTGGACTACTTAACATCATGTCGATGAGGTACAATTTTCCCATGACCTGTACGGCTTAAGGTGTTTACCTGCCGGCCTCTTGAGTTATCTTAGTGTTAAAGGTAATGAAGAATCTAATTTTTTAAATAAATGCATGATGGATTGTTCGACTATTACGATAAAACGATTGAATGCAAAAGGGAAATACATTATCATAATCAATAAATATTTGGTTCCGCATAAATACTTGGTTCAGCAGAGCATACTGGTAATCTGGATGTGAATAGACATGGTGTAGACATCTTGAAAACGAAAATGCATTAGAAAGGAAAGCAACTTAAGAAGTTTGACTTACCATTTAGCCATGATAAATAAACTAACTTGAGTCAGTGGTAGCCGCCCTTTTTAACCTTCAAAAATGTACGCTATTCAAAATGATCAAAACATGAAATTATACGACAATGAAGAAGCTCAAAGTTGGGTCCTAGAATTGAACATTCTTCATAGGGTCACACACATAATCAAAGTCTTATAAACTAATCCTTTGGTTGATTGGTGTTAATATGCATATTATAGGAGGGTCGTTATATTTCCCAGCGCCACTTGAGAACAGGGTTGTTTTCCACCCTACAAAAGTACATGCCCTGTCGGTCATAAGTATCGCTAATAATCGAAACGTTTAAGATTTTTTTGCTGTTAGGCATATTATAGATGCTTGTGATTTGTTGTTTAAGTGTGTTATTCAGCACCTAAAAGGACCATGTTTTTCGTGTGTGAGGAGGCAGTACTTCTGTACACGGAACACGCACTCTTGTATGATGTTATCTGGTTTCAAGTTTTTCAGAGATGAGAAAAAGTATAGAAATACGTTCTGCCGGAATGAGTGATGGATCTTCGAACCCAGGCGATTTCAGTGGAGTGAACGCTTGACTATCCATCCTTGTACTTAAATATAAAGGTCATTACGATCGTAATGACTGCCTTTAAACTTCGTAAGTTAATGCTGAAAACAAAGTGATTATATCAATAAAACGACGTGGTATGGAAGAACTGCAATGTTTTCAGAACACTTGAACGACTGCTACATGTAGGGGATTTTGTAAGCTTTATTGTTTGCCATCTTTCCTGTGTCCTACAGCAATTTGGCTACATTTTAAGTTCTTTTTTTGTTGCAACGAAAACATGAAATGCCAAAAAGTTGCTTTTTTAAACATCATTACATATATTTATAATTTTCTTTGATGCAAAACCTTTTTGTGCCAAGTTCTTTTTACTGCCGCATGGTATATATACATATATATACCAAGATTTCGGAACCCTTTTTTGTCCTTACGCAAGCATAAGCGTATTTCGACATGCAATTACATTTTTAGTTCTCCCTTTTCTAGGAAAACTAGACAAGCTGAACGCCGACGACGGACACGATGGACCGAACTTTCCGTTGTACATTTTGCGATTGGCATGTTGTATTACATGGCTGTTTATATTATAGAAAGATGACCAGATGCTACTGGACATAGTGTTTGCCAACAACGCGCTCGGTTAAACTTATGACTGGGTACTCCACAGGGTTACTACTGCCTCACTTAGAGGCATTGGGCCGTAGCTGTTAATAAGTCCAAAAAATGAATGGGTGAGTACATCTTCAACAACGATGCCGACTTCAGTTTTGCCGAACATACATAACCGAGGTACCCTGTCAAGGATCCATATCAGGTCACACTCTGGTCATGATTCCGTGCACCCCTTGCAACTACTGGTCTGCTTAAATTCAGCGTTTTTCGACACAGTGATAACATTCCAAGTAAATTTTTCAACTTCGTTCCTGACTTTTGATTTGAATGGATTACTATTTTGCGATATTAAAGGAGTTACAGATTAAAGCTTGGTCAGATCTTGAAAACCTGTGTGGTTTTTAGATGTGATCATAATATTCTACATTGCTCATAGTTATCTTGAATCGAGACCACTGACACAAAGTATTTCGCATTTAAAAAGTGTATCCGACTAGAAATGTTGGTAAGAAAATAGTGATAAAGTTGTTGTAAACATTGTGGAGACAATTACTGATATACAAAGTCACAAATACACATATAAAAATATTGGACATTATTTGTATAGCCAAGTGAAAGCTTCTTCAGACATTTTCGGGCACATCGTTTACAACTTTCTGCGTAACAACTGGATAAGTGAGAACGAGAAGTGTATGGGCAGCGATGTATTTGTAAGAGATAATTAGTGTCATACAAGTAAAGAACAAAACGTTAACGGGAAATTGAGGGTTAGGTTTAAGCAGCAAGCTTGTAGTCAATACGAGCGATTTAAGAAATCAGCTATAGTTGCCGCATGTGTGAATAAAAACAAAAATTATCCACATAATAAGTCCATTTTACCATCTCCGTAGAGGACGTTTACTTAAGGTAGAACATTAAGTACTCACACAAAAATGCAAACAAACATTTTCGTGGGTTGAACTGGTAACTTGTAAAACTCCTTATTGGTGGCTTCGTTGATGGTACCCTCTGTGGAATATTCCGAAAGAAGTCTTGACCACAACTTTGGCTCTTCAGGAAGTACGAGGAATTACTCTCAGTGTAACTCCCTAATCCCCTCTATCATCAACCAGATTTTTTACCCTTTAGTTTCTAGAAGGAAATTGACAGAAGCGAATCTAGCTACCCAGAAAACCGGCAGATTTCGGGAAACAAGCAGTTCACGGATTCTGCCAGGGAAAATTGAAGTTGACAATCAGTTCCTACGACTCCTGGGAAATAGTGATCACACTGTATTGTACTTCAGGTTCAGAATGGATAGTATAAATCTGTGATTCCGTCCAACTGCATAGAGCACAAATGTTTCTGATAATCAGCGATCCGGTCGTTTCACTAGTTTATTCGGTTACTGTAAACCCTTTGACCCGTTTGACCTTCCTGTACGCGGTGAATTGGATTATTTATGCACGCCCCTTAAGTCTCTGGCTTAATTGTCTTGTGTAGATATTTCACAAGGATGGTTGGTGGATATGCAGTCTTACGCGATAAGTCAGAAAAGACTATCAAATACAGGACTCCCAGGGGTAAAGAGGTTTGTTTGACAAGAGAAGTCTATCTTCGGGATGACATACTATGTAGAAGTTTGTCATGCTCTCAGATCGAGTGCCATCAAGGTAGTTTGAAGCTATATTTAATAATTTCAGGTGGATATTGCTTACCAAAAGACTTAAAAACCTATGTCTTAATTGATGGATTTTATGCTCTAAACTACTGGGAACTGTTTGAGCTTGAAGACATAAAGGGTGTTATTGTTACACTGTCGTCAGTGAATTTCGTATGGTGTTATACCTTAGTGATTTAATGTTCTCAGGTTCAGCAACAGGCCTCGACAAAACGCCCATACAAAAGAATCCGTTCAAGCCTTGAAGATGCTAGCCAAACATGCATTTTATTCGATAATGAGTTTAATCGCTCCTGTTTTCGTCCTCCTTTTGCAGACGAGAGCCTTAAGGATTACACTACGAGGTTAGGGTGATTTGTGTTAAACTTTTTGACAGGATGAATTGGGTTGCTGCTAACTGGTATATACATCACTTGAAAGGTCATGTTTCGCTAGTTTTCGTAACAGATAACGAAAGTCGTGTCCACACTTATTCATCTGAAATAAACACCACATCGTGTAAATTAACTGTAAGTTATTATACCATCTTTTTATAATTGTCTTGGGCAGTCACGAGTCAAATTTAATCACATTACTTCATGTTTTTAGGGATAGTCATATCATAGAGAAAAATGCATTTCTACTTGCACGCCTAATTATTAGATGCTCTCCCAAACTGTAATAGTACCAACTCATAAGTAATGCTAGTTTGTGGTTCAAACACCTTCTTCTTTGTTTAGAAATTTGATCAGTTCATTATAGACGAAAGTTATAGAAATTAGATCTAAGGGTTTTAAGCCGTTGACTTCGGCATCCTTGGTGTCATAATGATTCTACAGGTTTGTCAACAAAATAATGAATTTAGTCCTGAGATCTTGTTTCGAGCCGCATTATTAGTTATCTCTTCGTGTGATTTCAGCTTTTTCTAGTAAAACATAAACATCTAAAGCCCACTTGTTTAGCTCCTTTCTGAACCTTGGGATTCGACATTCTTCCTATGGTCTGCGTATTATTCTTTATTCAGACGTCAAAGCGGATGTTCCAGTTTTGAGTGAAGTCAGTTAATCGAGATACGTGGTTCGAACTTTTGGAGTTAATAACATACTTGTCAAAAATCCATTCGGTATTGCACTTTAATACTGAAAACATACCCTTCACCAGTGTTATTTATTATTATTTATTTATTTTAACACATAGATATTGGTACAAGGAGGCACCAAATACATATGCGCCACACAAATCTCATTCGATATGTGTGAGGGCTGTAATACTGCCCGGGTGCCCGAACCGAAGCAGGTGGTTTTCTTAGGGGGCCACTCCCCGAGCCTTCGACCTGAAGGTCTGATCCACAAGGCAGTGGAGCATCGTGAGGAGATGCAGTCCCATGGAAGCCGGTGACCAACGATTGGTTCATGCGCCATTCGTTCCCTCAGGATACTGGAGCCTATGTGCACCATAGATTTGGAATCCGGTTAAAGCGCCGGACATTCGCTTTTGGTCCTCTCATTTTCGTAGACAACACCCCTTCCACGAGAAGGCGGTGAGTAGGACTTCCCTTTCAGAGGCTATATACGCGTGGCCATGTGAGAGCATTTCGAGAGGGAGAGCGGACTCTCCCCACTCTCGGCCGTACCAGGGCATTTGGGGGCCTGAGTTATAATCCTCTGTCGGGTATACGAATTATTGCATACTGTTTGATGGGCTTAAAAGTAAATTTGTCTATAAATCAAGAGCTATATAGTCAGTTTATCATAGGTCTGCACCCAATTTCTTATATGTTGTAAGCTCCAACCAATGAGAGTTCTTCGGGTTATAGTGCTAATCAGATCAAGAACTTCATAATTTAGTACCATATTTTGTTTTATTTTCTGCAATAAATTTTCCTAATGATTTTACCATTCCCTATCTCGCGTCAGGTAGGCAGTGACTGGGGACACTAACTGTTCTGTATTCACTACCTCGTTTGTATAACTTTCTATATATAAATGTACACAGTCACCCTAAGCTCAAAATATTAGTGGTCTTTGGAAGAAATTATGGTCTGCTTTTTTATTCTTACTTATTGGCTTCAAAAACCATACCAATACATCAGATTGCTGTGTAATGTCTTTTTATGAGTAGTTTTTGATAGGCAACATTCCGTGCTGTGATATAACGTGACGGTAACCAAAGCAAGACTGAATTCTAATAACTCGTCTGTTGAAGGATACTCTATCTCCAAATACAACACAAGGAAAGAAATCATAGATTCTGTTCACTAGGCTTCGATTGCATTTAGCTATTAGACTAGATACATTTTTCTTGTAGGGGTTATTTCACTATGATTTTGCATCCATTAGTAATTACTTAATCAATAAGCCTCCGTAATTAATAGTCACTAAATTAATACATAACCGAGTCATTTTTGGTTTACAGTTAATCCCCATTGATTTTTTTCAATACATTTTCTTAACGAAGTTTTTGTTTTGGAGTAGTGGTTGAGAGATGAAGCTAGTAAAGCTGTTAAACATGGTATCTCAGTTGTATTTGGAGTTATCACCGTTTATCCTGCACCTGTAACATCAGAACTATTTACTTTCTGTTGATCAAAGCCAGTGTCAGTATTATCGTCCAACTCACTGTTGAACGCGGTGAACAACTATCTGGCTACAGAAGGACAGTTCACTTCGCAGCCTTCACTATGGTCTCTGATTTTAAAAGAATATTGCATCAGTTCTTGCAACATTAGCCTCCAGATATCTCTTTAATGGTTAGGCAGATTTACAGCCAGTTCCTTCTTGTTTCCATTCCAGTCACTGCGTAAAATCTGGCGCATATACGTCCCCCTGAGTCGCTTGGTTGTTTGTCATGATCGTTACCTTAGACAAAATCACTAAAAATCTTCGTTGTGTAAATCCGGACAAGATATACGAGCAAACAATATTATCCCCGATTATAACAGGCGAAAATTTATCCCCTATCTTAAACAATAAGCAAACTAATCATATTCTTCGATCAGCTGGTACTTGCATATATTTATTTCAACCAGCTATGATTTTAATTTTATAAATGTATTTGTTTCAGGTCTTGGATTTACCAGGGTTTTTACAGATGTACTACCCCACGCTCACAACTGCCAAACTTTTGTTTGATTCTTTGGATGTATCACTTCGTTCTATCCAATCCAAAGACCACAATTTACCAGAGCTCTCAAAATCAGAAAATCCTTCAGAGTCTTTGGACTCGTACATCATGCCTTCAGGTCAGTTCGGGCTTAGCTTTCATATTATTATTATTATCAAAAACGAAAACATGATTAGTTAGGATAAGCAAGGTCAAATTATTCATCTAAGATCTAGGAGAGATAGTTTTCTGTTTATGCTTGGGAGCAAATTATATGGTTGTTCAAGTACAAACTTTAGCCGTTCACCTCTTCGAGTAAAATCGTGTGTTATAGGTATTTTCCGGCAATTCTATTGTTCATTCAGAGAGCGAGCATCATATTTAGAATTACCTTTTCTCAGTATAAGTATTTTTTCTTTCTAGCGCCTTCTATTGGTCACGTATATCCGGAATATTTACCTGAATCGGCTTTAGCTGCCGGTTTACGGTCTGGACAATTTTTGAAGGGCATTCTTCACGTGTCACGTTTTCGACCGACTACTGAGGCCACGGTAGCCTTAACAGAGTAAGCTCAAAACAATTTAATCATGCTTTATTAAACCCGAAACAATCTGTTATCGTTTTTAGTGGTCAAATATGTTGACCGATTTAAGCTACGTCCTAAAATCCGTAAACCTATAAATATACATACCCAAATACATTTTCTACTTTTATATTTATTCTTGAGTCATTTCAAGATATTCAAGTTTTGTCAATCATTTTTAGTGCTAGTGCAGTAAAGCACCAACCAGAACTTAAGGAAGCGTTGGCTGCACGGAGTGAGATTATGATTCACGGGCTACAACATCGTAATCGTGCTGTTGATGGAGATGTAGTCGTAGTACGTCTTTTACCCCGTGTTCATTGGAAAACTGTTTCATCCGATATTAGTGCTCAAGAAAACTGTAAGTTAATCTGCATTTCGCATTGATATGTTTTTTATTTAATATTGTTTTATTGGCTCACTAATGTTTAGGTAAGATGACTTTTTACTGGTGAAAGTGATGCTGATATTTATAACATTTTCTAGCTTTTCTTATGAGTTCCAGTTATGAATTTATTTTTCCGGAGACATCGCAGTTTAGTTTCACAACTAAGGGTAAATATTAATTTGCTACATGGTACCATTAAGTACTGTATATCGGAAGACTAAACAGGTCGATCCGCATGTTTGATGTACAGTTATGTCCATATACATAGGTAGAAAATACTGGATCAGTCGAGGCCGTTTCTAGTGATAATGATAAAATATTAGTAACAAAGACTGATGTCAAAATTTGAAATTATTTTACTTTTTATTTTAACATATAGATATTGGTACAAAGAGGCACCAAATACATATGCGCCACACATATCCCATTTGATATGTGTGAGGGCTGTAATACTGCTCGGGTGCCCGAACCGAAGCAGGTGGTTTTCTTAGGGGGCCACTCCCCGAGCCTTCGACCTGAAGGTCTGATCCACAAGGCAGTGGAGCATCGTGAGGAGATGCAGTCCCATGGAAGCCGGTGACCAACGATTGGTTCATATGCCATTTGTTCCCTCAGGATACTGGAGCCTATGTGCACCTTTGGTTTGGAATCAGGGTTTTCCAACTCCCCTAGGTGGACTCTCCATGTCCACCAACCCGGGTAAAGCACTGAACATTCGCTTTTCGTCCTCTCAATTTCGTAAATAACACCCCCGCCTTGAGATGGTAGTGAGTAGGACTTCCCTGGGAGAGGCTATATATGCGTGGCTATGTAAGAGCATTTCGAGAGGGATGGAGGACTCTCCCCACTCTCGGTCGTACCAGGGCATTTGGGGGCGAAATATTCCCATATTGTAAAATTAGAACAACATATATAAGCGGACAGTATTGTTTTCGATTAGATCCTCATCAGGTTTTTCTCTAATATACAGTAATATTTAAATATATATTCGGTGCCCTCTTGTACCAATATTTATGTGTTCAAATAAATAAATAATATTTATGTGCATATACGAAATTATTTAACCAATCAAGGTAGTTTATGAGTCAATGATAACAATGAGAACGATTACATAATAAGTGAAAAATACAAATTGATAGTGTGATAACAGTTTCAAAAAAGAGGTTTCTTACTAGCCGTTAGAGTCGCTATTTTCTTGCTTGTTACTCGCATGTGTTTCTTCAGGAAACCCTGTAGATATCTCATTTCAATCAGCATTTTATGAATGAGCTCTAATTCCCTCTCAATTGTGTCAACTGAGCATATCTTAATAGCTCTATTTGCCAGACATTTAACTAAGTTTCTCTTATAATGAAGAATCACAAAATTTGAAAATCGAGTTAGTGAACACCTCACTTCGTGGTTAGGAAAAGGTAACGTCAAGACAATACGCAGCTTGGTTCTATCACACCTGTTCGATAGCGGTCATATAGTGGACAGAAACAAGTTATTTATCGTATTCCCACTAGTTTTCCTTATGGTGTTCGATCTCGTCTCTTACACATAGCAGAAGCTATAGGAATCCGAGCCAACAAGCCAAGTCTTTGTATTCAGAAGAAATTTGTAACACCCTTATCTCTTCCTTGGCTTTAATAAATGAATTTATTTATATGCCAATAACAAACTGATCAATTGCAGTCCTAAACCTCAACGGGAAGATACAAGCAAGACAATACCAAGTGAATTTAAATTCACCACATTGCCCAAGCAATTGGCTATCAGGACTCAGTAGCTGAGTGGATAACGCGATGTCGTTTGAAGCGAATGGCACTGGGTTCGAGTCCCAGAGTGAACACCAACTCTGAAATGCAGGTACATCCAACTGACGAGTCCCAAGTGGGACGAAACGCACGTCATGGATTCCACTGCTAGTCACTATCTATCTTTGCTTATAAGAGCTTGTGAATTAAGGTAATATCGGGGCATACGCACAGTGTGCACACATACCAATGACAGACTGATCAGTTGCAGTCTTAAATCTCTATTATTATCATTATTATTATTATTATTATTATTATTATTATTATTATTATCATTATTCAATATCATATTTTTGGTACAATATAGAATTCTCAGCGCAAAATATTTCAACAAGTTTCCGTTTGTTCTTGATCGGTCCCGGCGATAAATATTGAGTGATCGCCAGTTACATGTTTATTTTATTTTATTTTTTATTTTAACACATAGGTATTGGTACAAGGAGGCACCAAATACATATGCGCCACACAAATCTCATTCGATATGTGTGAGGGCTGTAATACTGCCCGGGTGCCCGAACCGAAGCAGGTGGTTTTCTTAGGGGGCCACTCCCCGAGCCTTCGACCTGAAGGTCTGATCCACAAGGCAGTGGAGCATCGTGAGGAGATGCAGTCCCATGGAAGCCGGTGACCAACAATTGGTTCATGCGCCATTCGTTCCCTCAGGATACTGGAGCCTATGTGCACCATAGATTTGGAATCCGGTTAAAGCGCCGGACATTCGCTTTTGGTCCTCTCATTTTCGTAGACAACACCCCTTCCACGAGAAGGCGGTGAGTAGGACTTCCCTTTCAGAGGCTATATACGCGTGGCCATGTGAGAGCATTTCGAGAGGGAGAGCGGACTCTCTCCACTCTCGGCTGTACCAGGGCATTTGGGGGCAACAGTTAGAGGTTCAGTAAATGAACATCTGAGTAATGTGCATTCTTTTCGTTGTGTATTGCCAGCCAACACATTGCCTCTTATTGAGTTTTTTGTAACTTTGACAACGAAAGGTTGTACACTTTTCAGAAACGCAGCAGAATAGGTTATGCGATTAATAAACATAATGGTATATTAAAACAAACAAAAATAGATAACTTGTTGAAATATCTAGATGGCAGGAACAGGTAGCCCAGATGCTTAAGCAGAGAAGGTACAAGCAAAACAATACCAAGTGAATTTCTCTTCGTTTATCATTTTTCTTTATTCCTTCCTACCATTTGCTTTTGTTTTCTCTCAAATATACGTCTCACGGTCCAATTATTTGAACATTTCTTATTACGTCATCTTATAATTTTATAAATGTTATCTCACTGTCTATATTTTTATAATTATTGAACTATTTACGATTATGTAACATTGATTCGAGCCTTTAATATTCTTATCAAAACTGGTGCACCTGTTATCACGCCATCAATTTGTACTTTTCACTTATGATGTAATCAATGTCAGATAGGTTTTGTGGATATTATAGTAATTTCAATGGTTAAGATCGTGAGTCAGTTGAAGCTAGACCACCATGGAAAACCTGGAAGCACTGGACGGCCGTTCCGTCCTATTGCGGGACTCCTCAACAGTGCCGGCTTAGTGATCTAGTGGTTAAGTGCTCGCGCGCGAAACCAGTAGGCCCTGGGTTCGAATCTCGCAGGGGACGAGATCGTGGATGCGCATTGCTGAGGAGTCCCGCAATAGGACGAAACGGTCGTCCAGTGCCTCCAGGTTTTCCATGGTGGTCTAGCTTCAACTGAATCATGATCTTAACCATTGAAATTATTATGTAATCGTTCTCATTGTTATCATTGACTCATAAACTACCTTGATTGGTTTAATAATTTCGTATATGCATATAAATATTACTGTATATTAGGGTAAAGCCTGATGAGGATCCAGTCGAAAACAATATTGTTCGCTTTTATATGTTGTTCTAAAGATTGATGTTACAATTACTAGTTTAATAGTAATGGTAGTGGAAGCAGTAGTAGTAGTGGTAGTATAAGTATTAGCATTATTATCATTACTGGTATTAATGGTAGGAAAAATAAATCAAAATGAAAACAAGTCCCATTTTCTCAACATTGCAATAAAATGAAGGATGACACGGTCCGATGTTCAGTTTATAGAAAGGACACGTGGAATGGGATTTATCTTCATTTCAAATGCTGTTGTCCACTCAGTTACAAAAAGGCACTGGTTAAAACACTCACGGAACAGAAGGAATATGTACTATTGATGAAATATAGGAGGAAGTAATGAAGGTTGAAAGGGTGTTTAAAGAACAACAGATACCTGTTATAACCCAGTGAAGATTAAGTTACAGGTAACTTCCGAGGACTGTTAATAAACTAATATTCTATAAATATTCTTACTGTACAATTATTCAATAATTATCATGTTAAGTCTAATGGTGTCCTTGGACTTTAAATGGGCATTTCCTATTGGCCAATATTTATTTCACTTGTCAAATATTGTGCAAATGTTGTTTTCTATTTTATGGTACGATGTGGTTTGTTTGATTGGTATATAAACCTAGTATGTCTGAAATAAACGTTTCGATTCATATTACAGAAGCTGGTATTGTGTTCTGGGCTCAAGTGGAAGGGCTAGGAGGACATAGGACCAATAAGGACGCTAAACTGCTCATACCGGTTGAACGTCATTGGTTTGGCATAGTGCGAAATTGTATAAGTCGTATTCTGACTGGTCGATAAGTCGCGTGATAGAAAAAGCCAGACATCAAGGTCATAACAACACACATAGGAATTTATTGAGAAGTATGTGAAACCTGGAGACACAGAACCCAAAAAAACACTAAACAAAAAACCTATTTTTATTCAACTTAGATTCAAAGGTGTTGATGTGACAGAGTCAACCAACATGAGACTAAAAAACTGCAGTGACATGAACTTATCTCGCAGCTAAATTGATTGTCTTGTCCAAAAGAACATGTTCTTTAACACAATCAAAGATCGATATGTATCCCTTTCATGTTACTACCAACTGTGTCTACAAATTCACATGTATATGCCAAATCAGTTGAATTGGTAGGACAGAAAGGAAAGCCTACGTCCGATTTAAAGAACATATTCCAAAAGCCTAAGGTCAAGTGGAATAAAAGCATTTAACAATCCAGTCTCATTACATCACGTGGATACACTGAAGTCTTACGAAATGATTAATAAACAATCGGACTCCAATCTTCTGAAATTTCCTGAAGCAAAAGTGGTTAAACGTTCAAAACCAGATCTGTGTCCAAGACGAAAGAGTGATAAATCTTTACTTGCTCTGGCAACATTACATCCTTTCTGCTGCATCATTCATGATTTGAACTCCTGAAGTTTTAGTTGAATCATTGTCATATTCTTTAATTCATAACTGGCTGACTTCAACTCGTATCTTTATTATCATTAATCTGCTTTCAGTTACTTCATTACACAATCATCTAATGTTTGTTACCTCTGTGGTTTCTAATCACTATTTCGATGTTCTGGTACTTTCCATTTCACACTTCATATATTTATATGAAACAAAAAGTTTTTATGACCTTACTAACTATACTGGAATCTTTGGTACATCATGATGTACATACTCATCTCTAATCAACTTTCGTATTTATAAGTATGTCAATATCTGTAATAGCTTTGATTTTAAAATATTATGGGTTGTAAGCACTTGATGAGAACCTAACGAAATAAGATGAATTCATATTATCCTACACTAATCTTTGTTTTCGATCTCTTTAAAAGGTTCCAGGAATGTAGTAAAGTTATAATATCTGTTCTAAGAGTTTAGAGAAAGCAACTGTTATAATAAATATAACAAGTGATTTTTGTTTATGTCAGCACTTTAAAATATTACACCATATGCTTAGAAATTATTAGAAATAGGACTGTTTAGTAAATATTAAGTAGTATAAAGCAATACACTGAAAACGAGTTGAATCAGGAGAGAGCGAAGTCGGAGAATGTAACCAAATTTAAGTGTGAATGAACAAACATAAAGCCAGTTAGTTATGATCAATGTAAGACGTGGTACAATCATTTATCTGTTCAAGTTGCTGCTTCTCATGCTAATACAGCGAGAAGAGTGATTAAAAAGATCTGAAGTTCAGGAAAGGGTTTAATCCCAACTACAAGGTAAGTCTAAACACCAAAAGTGCAGTCCAAATGGGATATTTGAAATTGAAGAAGACGACGGAAAATGAACGCACTTGCACCACTGTGACCGATTTTACACCATGTCACCATACATCACGAATCATCGGTCGCTTCTGTACAGGTTCCTCTAACAAAACCTGGGCTTTTCGTTGTTCTTATTAGTTCACTTCAATTTAAAATGGAAGTTTAACTCTTTTAAACTTTGTTTACCACTTTTCGCACGTCCCATGAATGTTACTGATTTCTTTACTAGGTGCAGCTGAATTTGTAAGTGACTCATCAAGTATATCCGGAAGCAAACCCAATCAGGATTGTCTTGATTCAGAAACATTATCAAGAAGTCTGCCTTGTGGCTTTGTTGTTGGTGTTGTCAGTCGTAATTGGCGTGATTATGTCTGTACATATGTTCCTAAATCTACTGAAAGTGCATTAGATCCAAAAAATGAAAGTGGATGGATAATAGTTACTCCATGGGATCGTCGTATTCCCCTCATTCGACTGCATACTACACAAATTTCCAAGCTAACTCGTGAACGGTAAGTAATGCACACAAAATTCTTACTAGCGTGTAATTTCATACTCAACTGTAAAATTTTACTATACTTTATTGGTTTTGTTATTCATGATTGACTAGTAAATATTCAGAAAGTATGTTTTTTCGTAATTATAATATGTATAAATTTCATGTGTTGGGTGAGTCTATGCACATGTTCTTGCCGTACTTTTAATATTTGGAAAAATTATCTTTGTTTCCTTCCTTCCAATGTTTTGAGTGTTAGGCCTAGGTTTCTTTTTGTAAACTGTTTATAACGGATAAGATTATGACCAAATTAGTCATTTTAATCGATTTTCTTCCCACTGTTAGTTCAGATTGGTACACTATTGTCTTTATTCGAAGCTGTATATATGCTTCTAGTAGTCAAATAACTTGTAAGTTTAATTTTCTTACATTTATTACATAAAATTTTCTGACATTAATGTGAAAGACATCTATCGATACATCTTATAATTGGTTTTTTAAGGTGGATTGTCTTTGATGGCCTATGGTTGAGTTATTTTGTTTATGCATATAGACGCTGCAGGTTTAATGATAATAATGGTCATTTTAATTGTATTGTTCTTTGTAATCACTTTTTATTGTAAAGTTATGTGAACACTGCTTTTCTTTTAATTTTGAATTTTGTTTTTGTTTTCTACCTAACAATCATCTGACTTAAGATGTTTTCCTATGATTGTAGTTTTATTGTACGAATCGATACGTGGGACTCGTATTCAGCTTATCCAAGTGGTCATTTTGTTCAAACTCTAGGTTGCATTGGCGATTTGGAAACGGAAACACAAACCATACTAATTGAACATAATTTAATTATTCGAAATTTTACTGATGCACAGGTATACTGAATACTTGATTTTGAATAGCGTTATATATCACTGTCACTACTCATCCTTTTTGTTTACAGTCAATAGGTGTTCTTTTATTGATTGAATAATCATTAAAATATTACTGTATCCACTTTTCTATTGATAATCGTAAATTGAATAAATACATAAAAGTTCATCATATATTGTTTCTCAATAACATCATGAAAATGGAATGCATATTTCAAAAGATATCTAACTGACTATAAATAGCATAGAAAATACTGATAACTTGAATAGTTATTGTCTTTGTAATAACAAGTGTCTTACTGTCGACATACAGTGTGTTCATTAGATATTACTGACTGATGATTAATAATTGTTGGAAGTTGTACCTCACAATATCGTTCGATATCATATTGTGTTATTTGTTTCAGGATTCTCTAGACAGTTGCACAGTATTCATCAGAATCCGTTTCACTGACTATTTCATATTCTCACCAATAAATAAAGGGAGTTATATATCGCTTTATCGTTCCATTTATCCTCAAAACTGTATGTCATTATGATTTGTCTGGGGTATAAATGAAAAATTCATACTTGTTAAATTATTTTTTCTTCTGTTATAGTAATTATTGGTTTAATATTAATAAATCAGAAATAACTCGTCATTGTTAATAAAGGCACCTAGCATTTCGTGAAAAAGTTGAAATATCTGTCATGTTCTGTATCATTCAATTGGCTTCATGATAGTCAGTTTAAACTTTATAAACTCATCATAATTGTTACCAATATTATTGTAAACCTTTATGCGTTTTTCGTATGCGGTCACAGCTCTTTATCGATTCCATTTGTGCAACGCACAAACACAGACGTGGTTTTCGCGCACTTTTCTGTTGTTAATGTGATAATTCCATCACTTTCTCGAACGTTTAATCAAATTTCTCACTCAACTAATGTTTTTCTATTTATTTATTATATTTATATACATACTCATCCTGAAATTTTGTAATAGCTGAATGAATTAGCACCACTAAGTGTCCAACGCCCTTGGAAAGTTGATCCCGAAGAAGTAAAGAAACGTCGAGATCTTCGATCGCCCACTATTTCAGGAAATCCAAAGTCCGAAGATATACTTATCTTCAGTATTGATCCTCCTGGATGTCAGGATGTAGATGATGCTTTGTCCGTTCAATGGTTACCACCTATCGTCGATGAATATGGAAAAGAACATAAACGTTTGCAACTGGGAGTACACATAGCTGATGTTAGTTATTTTGTTCCATCTGGTAGTTATATTGATAGTGAAGCTCGAAGACGTTCAACCAGTATTTATTTAGCTGATCGTCGGTATGACATGTTACCAGGTTTGTTAAGCGGAGACTTATGTTCTCTATGGAGCGGGCGTGATCGGTAAGCATCCTGTCATTGTTTTCACCACAACAGTTATTATATTTTTGTTGGCACAAAGAAATTCAAGTATAAATGTTATCTAACTATTTATTATATTTCCGATACAACTTAAGTATATGGTGAGGTACTGTTTGTATTGAGATTTAGATGGTAGTTGGAGGTAGTCAACAGGAAACCCTGGACCCGGGTTTCGTGCTACTTGGCACTCGTCAGCAAGGTGTACCTGTAATCTTGAGGGAACTGGTGCTCCCTGGCGGACTGAGATGATTACATCTCAGTCCTACAGGAGGCTAGTCACGGCTCGGATAGCTCAGTGGTAACGTCTCCGACTGTGAAGCTGGGTGACACGAGATCGAATCCGCCAGGGAGCACCAGTTCCCTCAAGATTACAGGTACACTTTGCTGACGAGTGCCAAGTAGCACGAAACCCGGGTCCAGGGTTTCCTGTTGACTACCTCCAACTACCATCTAGATCTCAATACATAGTGCCCGCAGTGTCGAGTCACTTAGACTGGTGGCCACATTGCAACATGATCGATAGCATTCGATCTGCACTAATAAGGACTAGACAAGCATGACATTGATCACCACCCAGTGATCAATCAATTGTGACTGTTTGTATTGATTCTCAATTAATTAAATACAAGTATATCCTCTTTCTAGCCTCTACCAAACCGAAAGACAGATCTGACACAGAATATTTAGTGAAGAAATCAACGAAGAGTGCTTTTGGCGAGCTTCAAGTGCTTATATATATGTTTACAGTTTTCTTGATAGTAGGGTGAAGATTATTTTAATAAATAAGTAATGAGAAAAAGATATCCTCAACTGAGGTAAAAGTAGATGGCACGGCTTGAAAAATTAAATTTATCAAAACAAAAATTATTGCACCAAAATAACAAAATGTTGATTGAAAGAAACTTTCGAGGATTGAGGTATCTTTAACAACGTTAAATAATGAAACACTCATAAGAAACTTGGTAGTTTTTCAACCACTGCTTGAGTTGTGAGTTACTTCATTCATTTGTTAGATAAATTTGCTCGGTACAACAGTGCGCTATAAATTCCTCATGCAAAATCAAGTAACCGTATTCTGAAGAAGTAGAAAACGAAGAAAAAACACCAAGCACTGAGGGGTACAGTTTAAGTGAAAAAGTGCATAAAACCTGTTAAGGCCAAAAAATCCTGCATTTTAAGATGATGTCATCAATTTATCATCTTCACTGTACAAAGACAAGAGTTACTTAACTTCAGTATTGCCTATACAACGTCGCTACTGGCGACGTGCAGTTTTGCGACGAAAACTGTGATGGGACATTTTGTTGCAGGAAATCTCCAGCCTAATGTTCCTTCACACCTTACTATGATCAACATTCAGTTAAACGTAGATAATATCGAAAGTATCTACTCCGAGGTCGTACTTCCGATCATATTGGATCGTTGTGGAAGCAAAATTTCCTCCAAATAATGAGTTTTTAAATGATTTCTGCCTTCGCAGAGATAGTGATGCGCAAATTTAACTCTCATTACAACACCCCTCATCATCGAAGTAGTTTCAATGTCAGCAGCAAGGTTCAACATAAAGGATACAAAAGCCATTACTCGAAATAAGGCAATGAGTGGCTAGTGTCGATCAACTGTCTTTTAGCGTTGTAATCTGTGTCAGTTCTATTCCGAAATACACATTATTAGAGATGCTTCTAACACGAGAGTCTATCTAATGCGACTAGATAAATCTAGTACTAATACACAACAATACTTCGACAATGAAAGCCAAATGGGAGTAAGAAGAGTGGAGACAGGACTTTTCAAGACAGCTTTTACATCTCAAGAAAAAAACAATGAGATAAGTAAACATCAGAGCATGTAAACTATTTTCCATTGTGGTAATTTATATAAATAAGTATTCATTACTTGGCCCAATCATATCACAATAATACTGAGGTTGGAAAGTCAATAATAATGATTGTATCTGTAGCTACCTCAACAGGTCCTCAGGCTTGTTGGTTGATTGATTCAAATGTTAGGTAAAACCTTGGGGTCTCAACGTTCCGAATTCTGTTCGTTACAGCTTACAAAAACAAAACAGTTGTTATGATAGCCACACAGAATTAGTTTGAAAGATATATTGTCTAAGATAAATTAACTTGCATCGTATGTGATACAAACAGTCTACCTTTCACATAAGCTTATTTGTAAATAAAAATAATATATTTGTAATATCCTAATGAGTAGAAAATTGGATTTTTCTGACGTTTCGTGGCTTAGTGTAAGTCACTTCTTCAGAGAATAAATAACCAAATTAAATTAATCCAAGTTTAAATAGTACAACGGAACAATGCAAGAATAATATTTGATCAATCAAAAACAGGTCTGAACAAGTTGATGTCATGTCATTTCTGTCAAGGTGATTCATAAGTGATAAGTATGTAAATTTTTGTGTGTATGTATGAGTGCATTGTTTAAGAATGAAAACTTGTGTGACCTATATGGTAAGAAAGGATAGAGTTTAAATTTGTAATATGAAAGTGTGAAATTGTAAATACGATCAGACTGAATGGTTAGGATAGATGGTCCAAGTAGGATGTATGGTAAGGCCTTCTTTTCTATTGAGAGAAGTAGGATTAAGCGTTATATGGAACGCCTCAGCTACCCTCCTTTCTTTGTAGTTGGAAAAGCCTTTTTGCAATATTTTGATATTTTTAAAATCGATTTGGTGGTTGTTGAAAATGGCATGAACTGCTATTGCCGATTTAATTTGAAGTTGGTTCAATTCTACAGGATTGTTAGGAGGTTTCTTTGTGTACCTAATATGTTCTTTGGCTCTAGTCAAGATTTCGCGGGATGACTCTCCAATATAATAGGCATCACAATCGATACAACCTAATTTGTAGACGCAGTTCTGTGTGGACATGAAAGGGATTTTTTCTTTCAGGCGAACTAAAGTATTACGTAGTGTGTTCGTTGTTTTGTAATACACTTTAATTCTGTGATGTTTTAAGATTCTTTGAATTTCTTCTGTTGTGCCATGACGGTATGGTAGGACTACAGTGCCAATCCAAGGCATTTCATTCGAATCATTATTATAATGTAATAAGCTGTTTTGTTTTAATATGCTTCTAATAATCCTTTCTTACCATATAGGTCACACAAGTGTTCATTCTTAAACAATGCACACATACATACACACAAAAATTTACATACTTATCACTTATGAATCACCTTGACAGAAATGACATGACATCAACTTGTTCAGACCTGTTTTTGATTGATCAAATATTATTCTTGCATTGTTCCGTTGTACTATTTAAACTTGGATTAATTTAATTTGGTTATTTATTCTCTGAAGAAGTGACTTACACTAAGCCACGAAACGTCAGAATAATCCAATTTTCTACTCATTGGGATATTACAAATATATTATGTTTATTTATAACAATCAATCCAATGCTCAATTTATTCGAAATTATCAAATCAAACCTTGGTAATGACACCTATAAGCTTATTTGTGTTTAAAAAAATATTTTTTTCGCGTATTTGTTTGAACAAGAACAAATAAAATTCCACGTGTCTGGCCAACTTACGAGGTTGGCATTACGATAAAGCGAGCACAGAAATGAATATTTGTAAAAATAATGTAGTTAGTTGTTGTGACCTATTGCAGCTGTCGATTTATATCCTGTTTTCTTCACACCATATGTATAAGATTTGATGTGTGTTCTGTTTATTATTTCCTTGAAGTTTATATATGTATATCAGTGAGTACTTGACTGCAACTTTGTGATCTATCTTATCGTCTACGGACGGGAACGATCTAGTTGTTTGTAGATTTTTCTTTATACAACTTTTAGCTATGCTGTTAGCGTATTATGGGAAATAGATATGGATTCATTCGATATCTCAAATATATGGTATGGTCGTACGGTAATCCATTCAAGCTATAAGTTAACCTATGAACTTGCTCAACGCATATACGACTCAGTCACTTCAGAAAATATTTCATCGAATAGCTTTGCAATGGAAGAGCTTGTTAAGAAGTCAGGTGGATTGGAAGCTGTTAAAAATGATATACCTGAATTAAGAGAATTAAACCGGGTAGTTTTTATGTTTCATAATATATACCTGTTACATTCGTTTTTTTTGTGTTCATTGATTGATACGTCTTCTCAATTTAGTGCAAAACCATAACTTTACACAGGTGTTAGCAGGACATAGACTGGATTAAAGCATGCTCAATGCACGATTGCTTTGGTGCACGCTGATTGGCTAATTAGCTAATCCTTATCCAATCAGCACTAGTCGATAGTTGAGGATTACTCTAGAATCTTTTCATGTAAAAACTGTAAATATACTAACATTTTCCCTATTGTGCTTCTTACTTGCATCTTGCTTCCATCTAACCTTGTTATTTGGAATATAGTCTCTTTCCTGTTCAACCGTGTTCTGATTTGGGGACTTGTCGAATGATTGGTGTCCAAGAATATGAAGCAATAGGTATAGCTGGGTCATACCGTAAGAAGAGAGATTACAACAACAGGTTTACACTTTGTAATGTCAAGGTTTCTCATTTTATGAACTTATACTTCATTGATATCGCTAGTTGTTTTCATACTTTGTTGAAAATCAAATTCATAACGAGCAGTAGTAGAAGGTACGACAATTGAATAAATTATAAGTAACAATCATGTCTATAAACGCATTACACCATTGATTTTGTAGTCAAATGAAGATGGTTGAATAAAAGTCAGAGTGAGTCGACTTTTGAGGTATAAAGCATATTACGATTTATTATTGGGGTTTTTTATGCACATAAGTTACAGATCTTTAACATTATTGGTACCGAACAATAAGTGCAAATTTATTCATATTATTCGATAGTCGTGATTATATTTTACCAAGGGGAGGTGAATGTGATCAAATTGACCAGAAAATAAACCTATTCAATTTTCAGTTTACTAAGATAGAAACTAGTCATTGAGACCCAGCAAGTTGTGCGTGACTTCATGGCCAATATAAAAAATAAGCTAGGAATAAATGAATGTGTTGGTGTTAATACACTACTTGAGTAATAAGTACATAACATGTTCCTGAGCACCAATTTAAAGGTACTATGAACATCAAACTTCTGTAAAAATTTGGTAGAAGACAAACGTTTCATAAACGGTTTAAGGATTTGATTCTACCCTATTTAGTGTTGTGGATGCGTGCTATTGTGTTGATTTCAAACTTGCAAGAACACAGACCGAGTTGTCAGTTATCCTACAACTATTTTTTTCATTACCAAATGTTTTAAACTCTGAAACCCAGTTATAAAGTGGTACATATGCTATAAAGTCATATTTTCTTAAGTTATAAAGAAATATAATAAAGTTTAAAGTGAAAACTTGTACTACATTTATAAAGTTCTACTATCCAACTTTTTTCTTTTTTTCTTAAGTACATAAAATTATATACATTTCTTACATAAACTGTTTTATGATATTCTTCACTTACATGTTTAAAAATACTTTCATGATTCGCAATGTTTGTTTCACAGTTATGTAATATACCCTTGTGGGCCAGGGTAATTTTACATTGGTTTTCAGGAAAACCAGACACCATCCGGACTTTCACGTAAAAACCCAAACAGTACAGCTCAACCCCGTTTAGCAGGGGAATCAGACACCGTATAGGCTTTAACGCTACAATCTGAATAGTACAGCTCAATCCTGTGGCGCAACCACACAGGTACCAAGCACCCTGGTGAACCAAATGTTTGTTTCAGTATCAACAAATTAAGTTTCTTTATGTATTGTTGGAATTAATTTATAATGAAACAAGCATCGTTTGGTTCTATGCAATATGGTTTTGAAAACTATCCCTTTTACTCAAGTTTATTTAAACTTAGTTACTATATTTAAGTATTCATCAATGTTTTCATATTAGTCTTTGGGAATTATTCAAATGGTAATGGTGATAGAAAATTAGACTTAAAAAAACTTTTCATTTATTAAATGTAAGAATAGTTTTATTGAGTTATGTCATTATTTCATAGTAATGATTTATTGTTTTAAATAATTATCAAAGGATGAATGTTTAACTGCTTTGGACAAGCTTAGTAAATCTATTTTACTATTGGTTGATATTGCCTCCAATATTCGTGAACGTCGACTTGCTAAAGGAGGTTTAGAACTTGAAAGTGTAGAAGTTAGTGTTCAATTTGCCAATCCTGAAACACGTACTGGAAAACTAGAGGATTTGATTCCAAAAGAGGTATTTTAAAAAAAATTAAAACATTATATAATTCTACATATATGTACTTTAGATGTTTCATAAAATACCTATTTTTTAATTTCATTTGATTGACGTGTCCTGTTATTTGGAGACGTTAATATTTCATTTATTTGATCTTAGTCAAACTGATCCATTAGAACTTTAGGTCAAATGCCATTTTTGCAAAGGGATAAGCAAATTACAGTAAACATGCAGACTACTCGTATCATGTTACTTTACTTAGATTAATTTAATCTGCAGTAACCTTATGTCTTTTAGATTTTTTCGCTCCATAGTAAAATGCTAATAATCAAGTCTGTCATGTGAAGTACATACAGCTTGGAGGCTGCCACAAACATTTTGACTGTTTGTAAGTAGAGATGCTTTGAATTTAGTTATATTGAGATACTCTTTACCAATTGCATTGGGTTTTAGAAATTCCTCATTGTTATTGTGACAAAGGAATTATTGATCTCATACTGTTATCCCCTTTTGATAACAAATAAACTGTGAGCTGTATCTGAAAGATCCAAAATGAATAAATCGATAATAGATTTGTAACGGTAATAATGTTGGCTCTACGGTGATGAGAATAGAAAATGATAACTACGTTCGTGTTAAAACGTTTAGGTCCTGATTTTGTATTTTCAACTATCGACTCATCCTTCAGAAACTCTTATTTATATCGGGAATCCGCATACATCTCCCGGCAAACCTGCTGATAAGTTGAGCAGCATTATAGACATCACTTGGATGTTATTGTTTAAAAGTTGCAAAATAAGGACTAATATATGACATAAATTTGGCTACTACTGTTGTGGTTTCCATCATTACTCAAATCTTCTGTGTCTTAATTTCTATGAATTATTATTTTGAAATATGTGTTCGAAATTTATGGCTATATTTTGCCTGGTATTACCGTCGATCGAGATTTCAGTAGTTTAAGATACTGACATTCTGCCAATATAAATTGTGGCTAATAGAAATCTAAGGGAGTAAGTTTCAGGGATCGGTGATAATGTATTGTTTCGTAACTCGTAGTTTCTTCTTCTAACATAAAAAAATATCTAATTTTTATATACTAGTTTTAACTAATTGCAAATTCTGATACTATTTGCGCTTTTTGTTAATGGATCGCTTTTGTAAATATCTGTATTTATTCTAATTTTGAAATAGCCCCTTGAAATGCACAATACAGTAGCGGAGCTAATGATATTTGCAAACCATTGGGTTGCACGTCGATGTGTAGAATATTATCCTGATCGCGCTTGTCTACGTCGACATCCACCTCCGCGTCCGGAATATTTCGATGAACTTAAACGCTGTATAGCTTGTCGAGGTTTTGTTTTAGACACAAATTCCAATCTTTCACTAGCGAATTCCTTAAAAAATGCATCAGATCCTAATGATCCCGAGGTAAGATTAAAATATAGGAGTTTTTTGATATAATGAATTATCGCTTTTATTAATTATATATTATATTATATTATATTTTTAATTTTCTCCATCTAAGGTGTTTATTTAGATTTTTAGCTGACTGCATCGCGTATGCTACTTATTTGTTATGAATGTCCTTCTGGTGAAGTAAAGTATTATACATATAAATTAATTTATACTATAAAATTGCCCCTTTGTTACATCATGGAAATCATTTGTATACTTATAACTGGTTCGCAATTCTGTATGATTAAATTGATGTGCTCTAGCGTCTTTTTAGATTATATAATTTTACTAATTCATGTCGAGTATCGTGACACACATTCACATAAATTGCAAAATTTTCGGTAGTTTTCTCAGCTTACTCTCGATAAATTTAAAGAGCTGAATTCCATTTACTTTACACGTTAGGTCAGATGATAGAATTGTTCATAACTTTGTTGACTGAAATATTATCTCACCTTAGTACATATTCATTTAGCTTAGGTGGCTTCCAAATAAATGTAAGCTTTTCCAGTATTTTTGTGCATGAGAAAATGAATGTCGTTCATATCTTTCTACTGTTGCTTCCCTTTATTAATTTATTTGAGTTATTCATTCCGATTCTTCCTGATTGTTGTGTATATAAATAGGTTAACAAGGTGGTACGTCAACTTGTTACACGTGCAATGACAAATGCACTATATTTCTCAACTGGTTCATCAAATATGACACAAGATCAGTTTTCCCATTATGGCTTAGCCCTTAATTTGTATACACATTTCACATCGCCTATACGACGTTACGCTGATATAATTGTAAGTTCTTGGATTGTTTACACTACCTAATTCATTTTATTGCAAATTGATTATCCGAATTATTTCAAAAATCTTGATGTGATATTTTATGGTTTCCACCAAATACGATCTATTAGTTCCATTTGTCAGCTATTCTGTTAGCGTAGAGTTTCGTTTTTCTGGAATATTTTAGTAAGACCTAATAAATGACTAAAAATTGGTTTTCATATAGTTCTGGCTTTTTGTGTTTTGTTTATGACCATATGTTTGACTAGCTACCATTCAGTTCGATTTAACCGAATTCCAGTTTTTTTTTAAAAAAATTCACAAATGCATCTCAATCACTACGATAATTTTTATCCATAGTCCACTTGAAAGCCGATTAAACCGTAATCAACTTACCACTCATGCAGGTTAGTCAGTCGTAATCAGCAGACATCTTCGGATAAATGTACGTCAATCCGAGTTATAGTGCTATCAGTACGGCGAGATCAAATCAATAGTATCAGTAGAAAAGATTTCGATATAATAGTACTATTAATGAAATCGCAGATTATGTTTCGAAATTATGTACTGAATCGAGAAAAAGTGTGCATATTGTACAACCAGATAGTCTGCACTTTTCAATATGTCTGTCTGATGACATATGTGGGAAACAGAAAATAGAATAGGAGGTCTGTTAGTTAAATTGGAAGAATCATCAGGAAGCGGTTGTGAACAAGACTTTGCGGAATGTTGTTAGTAGTATGAGGGCAGTTCCACATAATGTAAAAGGATATTTTGTTTTGAGCAACTTGAATGAGGTCCTGGATCATTTCTTAGCGATGCAAGCGTTCTGGTGATGTGACTTCACGGCATCTCACATGACCTGTGAGTCATTTAATCTCAAATTAGATTCTCCTTGCTTAGGTTTTTTTCCCTATCATTGATTATACTATTGTATCTACTCCCTTAATATGACTTATCAAATTTCTGATGGTTTGCTTATGTGGTTTGGATCACAGTTTGTGTCAAGTCCTAGGCTGTTTATAGCTGATTAATTATCCATCTTTGTAAAAGCTAATACAATTCGAACTTGATTCTGGTGGCAACTTATTATAGCTTCCAAATTCTTTACATAACTGTCTTTTATTTAAGTGCTGAATGCTATTGGTATATGAAACTTACATTGGTGGTCACTAAATTATTTTTTTTGTTAAAGCAGTTATATCAAAATAAGAAAATCCAGTGGTTTCATTCCATCATTGAGAAGGTGATTCTGAAATGTGTTCATTGTTACATAATTGTTGTTCATTAACTTCCGTTCTTACTTAAACATTATTCATCAGGGTTGACATTAAGTGACCGGCCTATATGATTCCCTAGCACCCCTTTTAAAAAAATTGTGTGGTGTGAATGAAAAATTTAGGCATCGTTGATTGGTGGACTTGTTTTGCAAGTGTGTGCTCAAGTGATAATGAACAAACATTTTGTTACCTTTAATCATTTTGTAATTGGTCGTAAACTGTTCATCTTTGTAATCTGATTAGTTGAAATCGAAATCGCATCTGCAGCTGTGATTGGATGTCAGAATTTTCATTTTTTACATTTGAAAGTTAATGATAATGAATAATTTTTTTTGTGTAATCTTAGTCTTGAAAAAAATTTAGACTTTTGAAGAAAAAGACACCAACTTAATTGCATTACCGTGCAATCCTACTGTTAGTGAATGTGTATTGGGATCAATTTTTGTTTTCCGATCAAGTATACCTTGAATTGAAGTCGTTAGTTATCTGAACACAAATAATTATACGTATCTCAGTAAAAGAAAGTTTTTGGGAAAAAGCAACTGAAAACCGGTTTGAATATTTGATCATAGTGATTACTGAATGAGGTCGGTAGTCAAATCTTTAATACCAAATTAATAAACAAATTATCACCAAAGTGTGTGCATAGGTTTTTTTGTAACACACGGTGTGTTAATGGGAAAAAGAAATCAACATATCAATAAATCATTATGATAATTTACTGGTTGAAATATGTATAGTTCAGGTGAAGCAACCGTAGACCATCATTTAATCAACTGACTTTGACAGTATATGAAAGTAGTAATAAATTTTCCGAAATAGACACTTAATATTTAGTAAACGATTATTTTGTAAATGGTCATTCATAATGAGAATTAGACAACGTTAGATTTCAATACGGTTAATTTGGAAATCCATTGAAACGGTTCATTATTTTCACTTGTAAATTATTTGCAGTTCTGTATTTTAAAATTAATTTTTTGGTCATAATAAAAACTAGTGTGTTTAATGTCATGCGTGAACATTGTTGACCGCCGTAATATGAAACCTGAATTATCTAGACATTATGAATGTAACCATTTTTGACAAGCATTTGAAATATCAGTTTCATGAAGTGTCAGCGAACAAGCCTACGTCGTCTGACTGACTCAACAAATATCTATCGACTTTAAACGTATAAATATGAATTAGGTCAACTGTATCAATGCACATTTAAAATGTCATTATCATTTATTTTCCTCATGATTATTTTCCTTATTATTATTATTATTATTATTATTATTATTATTATTATTATTATGTCAATTGACAAGATTCAATTCTCAGACTATGCATTTCATTGACACAACATTTTTTGCATTTTCAATTTTCCTATAATGCTTAGTCACTTATTGTGACTGAACACTTTACTGCAAATCATCCTGACCTTTAGTGAATGACCTTTGTAATTTGTAAACATATATATCGTTACAGATGTAAACGTTCACCATTGTTAACACATTACATTGTCAAATTCATTAATGCCATGACATATTTTTGGCCTTTATAAAATATGGAAATTATGGACTTATAACTGTATAGTGTGATTGTACCAGTAAGAAATAGTTGAAGAGGTGTGCCAATGAATACGGTGATTTAATCAGTAGTTATGAATAACAATGGAGGCTTAGTTTACGATCAGACGTACTTCTTACGTACGCTTAGTTCTGGTTTCAGGAACTTTTAATATAAAACAAGAATATGAAATTCTTGTTTTTTGTATTCATGAAACGGATAATATTCTTATTTCTTTTTACACTTACTATATGACCTTTAATCACATGAATAATTTAAACGATGATGGTTTCAACTTGTTTTCTAATGTCAGTATTTTATTCCTAAATAAGTTAATTTTCTCAATTTTGTTTACTTCTCTATGAGCTTTAATCACATTCATCTTTGTAATTATCTTATTACATTCACTAATAAATGTCATCATTAATTTATTTTCCTAACGACAAAATTACGATTTTCACTAATTTAAAATATCCCTATTAAAATGTACTCAAAATGTACTTTTATTAGATAGTTTACAAATGTTTTACTAAAACATGAACGGTAATCACATTATTTTAAATATAAAATTACTAGATTAGTCGTCATTAGATGACAAAATCTTGTGCAAGTTTTCTTAACCTTTATATCTAATAAACGTTAGAAACAAGTTTACGAATACGTGAGCGATAATCGCTTTTCCATTATTAATCTCTAAGGGATATCTAAATTCATGAGACATTAATAAGTGCTTAATCACTTGACCTTTGCCGCGGAAAAGTAGTAGATAAAAAATAATGGAAATCAAATTGTGGGTGGCCCTGAAAAGGGCCTTTACTCGTTCTCGCGGTCGGACGTCATCACTATTAGTTTGTAATGGCGCCACAGATAGGACACTGCACTGCTCGTACGTTCGGCGATGGGTCGTAGGCACAGAAGGTATGAAACATTGCTTCACATCTACAGAAAACCCAACCAGCCGCATCACCGGTTTCACACGGAGGCTGCGCAAGATTACAGATGTCGCGGAGTCGATTCTCTTCATCCTCTTCTTCATTTTCGATGTCCCGTTCAGTTAACTCTTCGGAGTTAATAGAAATTATTTCCTCCTCATCGTTACTGAGCGTTTCATCCAAATCAACAGTTCCTCGTTGTAAAAACGGCACTGCTACGTTAGTCGAGGTTCTTGAAATGGTGTTGGTACACCGTTGGAAAAAACACATGAAGGCAGAAATGAATGTTGACATTTCGCGACATAAAAAGGCTATGCACATGGGTATTGCCTTAAAATTCATATCCAGGGCAACGACTTGATATAAATGGACGTTCTCGTTATTCGTTTTGTACGTCCCGTCAAAACCAATTACGTCACAAAAGTGACCGGCCAAATTCACTTGCTCAGCAGTCATGAAGAAGAAATACGATAAACAGTTCTCATCGTCCAATTCGTATTCGCAAAGCCCACCCAAGGATGTTATGTGAGCTTTCAATTTCCCGTAATCACCTATAGTGTATATTATAAATTGGCAAATTCCGTACCAGGAAGGTTCGCGTGTGAGAACACTTTGTACCGCATATTGCAGACATCTTGAGCGGTCAGACATTTCCCATAAGATTGGTAAGCAAAATTCTTTATGTGGAATGCAGCGGTACCGGAAATCAGCAGCGGTCTCACAGTTTCAAACTCCCCATCCGTTAACCTGTGCACCCATGAATTACCCTGGTACCTCAGGGAATTGCACTCGTGATTGTGATGTACATTCCCACGTACAACAGTCCAATAGCCGTCTATAATCTTACAAAACATAAATGCTGGACATTGGGTGTTCATAGAAGCCCTTCGTTAAAAAAATTATTAAACAATTTACCAAATTACCTCCTCCGTCTAATACGTTGTGACGAACCGCTAGATCTTATACGCCCATTTCGCCAACACACAAATTTAATGTAGGATTTTTGATCTCTGGCAATATGCGAATCTCTCACTACATAATTACTGTAAGTCGATCTTTCAAAATTTGTGATAGTGGTCTTTAACGCTTCAACCGATGGAAACGCAACCAGAAACAAGGTAGTTAAAAAGACTTCCTCCATTTCCGTTACGTGAGAAACACCAGCGTTTGTACTCGGCACGTTACTCTGCTCTATAATGACGACTGAAATGGTGCATCGTCGACACGTACTGATAATTTATAACAATTTTCAGGACATAAGTAACCAATTAAATCGAATTTTTGAAACTAGCCATTTCATTGGACGAAACACGGGATGAAAAATATTGTAATTTGGGGGTGGAAAATTTTTTTTAAAAAAATGGCCGGTCGGACAATATTATTCATTCATCAGTTAAATAAAGGAGTCATAAGAGATATTATAATAAAAGCAAAGTAAAATTATTTACAGTATTATATGGTTCTTATTTTCGTTGAATACAGGTTCATCGCCTTCTGCTTGCTTCATTAGGAGACTATAGGTCACTGACAACAACACAAAGTGAACTCAACTCAAAAAATACTGAATTAGTCACAATTTTAGAAAATAAAACCGACGGGTTATTCTCTTCTGAAGAATTAGCTTCTATTTGCAATCATATGAACGAACAACACTGGGCTGCTCAGCAAGTTCAACGATCCAGTTTAGAATTATTTCAAGCTTTGTTCTTTAAAGATAAACCAGTTGATGATCCATCTCGATATGCAGAAGGAATCATTTGTCAGTTAAGAGGCACAAATGGATTTATTGCCTTTGTTCCCCGGTGAGTATTTGTATACTTAATATACATATCCCTATTCTCAGTTTGATCTATTGCATTCTTGTTCTTAGTAAATTGACGCTTGAATTTTGTTAGCTATTAATATACAAGATCAGTTCGAAATTGGCTGTGAGATACGGTAACTAATAAATTGTCATGTGCTCACTAGTGACTGGCTTCGTGAGGTAATTCTCGGAGTTTTAGTGAGAAGCCGTAACTGGTGGATCTAATCTGTGTCAGGTAGAGACAGGTATCTACTTCAGACAATGGAACATGGTCGTGTAATTTCGTGGATTGATTGAAGTTAGACATTGACTCCGTTAGATGTCGGCTCAGTGGTCTAGAGGTTAAACGTTCGCATGCAAGAACGAAGGTCCTGGATTCGAGTCCCGCATACGGGATCGTGGATGCGCATTGCAGAGGAGTCCTATACTAGGACGAAATGGTCGTCCAGTGCTTCCAGGTTTCTAATGGCGGTCTATCTTACACCGATATATGATCTCAATAAAAAACTTGACAATCTCCACAACCACACACTGAAAGTTGAGAATAACTTGAGAATATTAAATCATATAACAGTAGTCAATAGGTCAAATGAAAGGTTATGACAAAAGGAATATGAATATACATATAATTTAGTTAATTAATAGTTATCCGTTGAGAATAAATTTAATAATAGTCCATAAATAATTCCTCATAGTTACCATTCATTTATTTTTCATTCGTTTATATATATATATATATATATATATATATATATATATATATATATATATTACTTTTTTACTTTTCCAGATACGGTATCAGAGGTGCAGTTTGCATAAAAAACGCGGATGGTCACATAGCATGGGTTGATCATACAACATCTGATACTGGTAACATTCATTGGTTACAAGATGTCCAAAACATAGTGGTATGAAATGCTTATGTCATTGTATTTTCACTCACACAAACTTTCAGTGTTATATAAATTTGGAACACAACTACTTATAACTTTTCTTGTTTGACATTTTACCTTTTGTTATTAAACCTCTTTTGGAAACTGAAGCAACGCTAGGCACGTGATGTAAATTCAGGTCTTTTCAAATTTATTTCTTAGTAGAAATTAGTCTCATATGCTTATTGATTGATATCCAAATGATCTTCTGGTACTAAATTATTCCTAGTATAAAAGCAAAACTGTCTTTCGGTTATCCTTCGTTGTACATGTAGCATATTCTTCGACAGAATTCAATAATTTTCTGTTTCAAACACAGAAAGGTCTTTTTTAATTCAGAATATAAATATTTTTATGTAATTTTGTATGCTCGTACAATTCAGAGGCAATTCAACCAGTATAACATTAATCCACATATTATGAAGAACAGTCCAGAACACATTCATGCTATAAGTTGACTTTTTTCTACACGTCCAATAGTATTATCAAGACTGAAAGATTAGATATGTAGACTAGACACCACTTCATATTAATGAACTTAACTGGTCATGTGAAATAAGTTAGTTACTGAAGTTCTGAGAATTATTACACTTTTGCTTGTGAACACTAAGCGTGGTCAAACAAAAATGCAGTAAAGACGGTAAACTACTCAATACCAGTTCATCTAATTCAAAGGGGTCATAGTGCCAGTGTAAACCAATCACCTTCAATTATTAATCGGGCTAGTAATTTTATGCCTAAGTCTATCAGACTTCTATACCGACATATAATTTGTTGTTACATGTTTTATTTTAAAATTATCAAAATAATTTCTTTCTTGCTTAGATATTCAAGTTTCTTTCTCATGATATCTGACTTTCAGATTGAACGTGTTCATTCATCCGAACGATCAGATTGTGGGGTTTTAGAAGTCCGCAACTCCAAAACTAATGAATGTCAACAGTATCGTATGTTTGATCATGTCTTGTTAAAAATATATGTCAGTGAGACTATTGCTCATGGATTAAATATAAGATTGGAACTTGTAGGTCTCCCTAAAACAACAAATGATTCTAGAGGTAAACTAATAACGGCTCATACAACAACGGGAAATCATTCAGTCTGTACACCGAGCTTGAATACAAAATTAATAAAGGTAGGTTACTGAGAATTTCTTTATTTAATGGTATGTTAACTTGAACTTTGGTTGCAATTAATGACGTTTTTTCAGTATATCATCTAAGTCAGCTCTGTGGGAATACGTGTTGTGCTTCTGAAGAGCAGAATATGGTATTTTTTAGTCTCACTGTTCTTATAAAACCAAATAAGGTTGATTAAAACTTCTTCCACAAAGATACTGCCCTCATCGTATATGCGTTTTCTGTTATACATGTCATCGAAACTAGTTCTCCCACCTTTTAATATTGTCTTATCAAAGTTTCTTAGTTTTCATTAAATTTAATCACGCGAATGAGAAGATCTATTTCGATGTTTTTCTGTTTAAGAATGAAATTGTAATAAGAAGTGATAATAAAGACGGATTATGATATTGTATAGCATAAAATCATCATTTTGAACATCAAGCACCATTTTCCTGGAGTGTTTAAATATGTACACGATATCTATCACAAGTACAGTTCACTACATCGTAATTTCTGTACACTACATTTGTGTGATCAATATTTCTGAAGAGTCTGTACCGTTATAGAGTTTATAACAATCATATAATGCAACCATAAATTGAGTTGACAGTAGTATAGTACGTAATGAGAAAAGATATTTATCCTTTTCACTGGTTTGAATGATGTTGATTCAGATATTTAAAAGTATTTCATATGTGATGTGTGATTCCACGCTAAGTCCCTACAATATTTTCATAATCACCATTCCTTTTATTGTGTTTTTTCCATGTTATTTAACCAGGATGTACAAGATATAGATGCTGAAAGACGTCAAAAACGCGAAGTGAGTGATCAGGAACATGTTGATGTTTCAAAACGCAAGCAGTTGATTGCACAATTACATGATTGTTCTTCAGTATATCACCGATTTCATAAACTTCTACGTCAGTCTAATGAACATGAGATGGAAACTAACTGATTTCTGAATTTCTTGTCATGCTTCAACTTCATTTTGATTAAAAATAACTTTTCTGTTAAGTGGGGAACAATTTCATTGTATAAAGTCACATGAATTTAGTACACTATATGGCTTGTTTAGTTAAAAATGTTATCCATTTCTTTTACTATAAAATATCGCACTTCATTTGAAAGATGATTACATCCGACTGGACTCTGCTGTATATGACTTTTTACATGGTGTACTGAAAAAATACATGATTCGTAATGTGCTCTGAAAAAAACCATCTTCATGAACTCACTGTCAATTTATATTACCCGCTTTCCAAAATGTTTACCTAGATCGTCAGTGACTGAAGGAAAGCATTATATGGGATAATATAGTTTCTTAACAATTTACTTGTTAGATAAATTTCAATTTTTGTGCTTGGTTCCTTGAGTCTTCCATTCAACTAACTAATTAATCTAATTCTCTTAGGGTTTTTTCACTTTGTAGAGGTGTTCTCATGCCTTTATAGTACCTCATTTACACCTAAAGACTGATGTTTTATTTTCTGGTGCATGCTCGATTTGTTTCCTTGAGTCAAGAGTAGTCCGTCTGCTACGCTAAATCAATGTAACTACTGAAACTGTATGATTATGTGGAATCCTTCACGTATAACTCGTGAATACTAATTTCCATTCCTACTTTTAAGTTATTCATGGCTTTTCAACTTCGTCCATGGTTAGAAGCATAGTGTCAAATACCGATTACGTTCAGAAATGAACTTTTGCGTAGTTGAAGGACATTTGAATTGTTCCTTCAAGTGTTATGCTCATGGTTTTAGTTTCAAGCAGATGTATATTTTCCGTTAGAATGCAGCTACTAAATGATTTCACTGTGGCATATTTGGTGAGTTTATACAGTTATTCGACGTGATCTAATATTGGCTTACCATATAATCGATGATTTTGGTACAATTATTTCCTACTCTCCCACCCAAAACTGACCATTTAAGGGAATAATGCATAAACCCAAAGGCATCGTCTGTGTTTACTTTTTTCATTGGCTCGTAAGTTACTCTAGACTATCATCTTGTGGTGCACTCGTCAGTATGACGTGGAAGATCACATCAACTTAGAAACTGTAAACATCTTAAATGTTTATTCTGTTAAGCGGAATCAAATATTTACACAAGAGGAAAGTACAATCACCACAACAGCAAATGGAGGTTTGAAGAAGATTCACTTCTCTCCTAGAACTCCATTAGAAAAACTGAAGTCCTTCATGTTAAACAAGTTACTAAACTTTCATTAATAATCCCATAGTCTTAAATCAGGGTGTACAGATCATATATACGGAGATCTGCATGCTTTTTATACATCCTTCAGAATCCCAGTAACCTCCGAAGCAGTACTAACAGACCGTTGTCTATTTAATCTTCAAACAAGGAGGCCGATAAGACCCAACCAAAATTTGAGCAGTAGTACAATTTCTGATTTTGTCTAAGTTCATTGAACGTCTGATCAATGAATAAGTAAATTCGTATATAAAACAAACCTTTTACATTACTGTTTTATCACCGAATACAATATTTATCACTAATTATGGAGGATTATATTTAAAAAGATTGTTGATCTGAATATAGTGACTCTGCAATGATAGGTATAATCGATTATACTGCTGTTTATTTAGGTGGTGGACGTTTATCCTTACTATGATGTTTGGTAAAACAAGGTCATTGAGCTGAATTGATAGGTTGTTTTATGTTTAATTTCACTGATTTCGCCACGAAATTATGAAAATTCAGCTGTTGACCATTCAATGGAGACTATAGAATCTTTATTATACTATGTAACTTCGTTTTTCACTTTTCCTTTTGATATGTTATACTACACTACTTAGTAGTACACAGCAGTTCAGATTATTTTCAACCACATTAAAGTACTACTTGAATCATTGAATTACTAAAGATAGATGGGATTCGAGTACATTAGAGAGGAAAATCCTCCTTTTTCCGTTACCTTGAAAATAACCTATTGGCTAGGAAATGAAATAGACTGGACATTCATACCTTATGCCCATTAATATTTTAAATTTCTGTAATACTTTTATTATCTTCGCGTGATTTATTAATAAGGTTAACATGTAACAAAAATACCGGCGGTAAGAAAGTGATTACTTAAATTTTGGAATTCCACAAAATAAGTTGACATATAATTGTCTAACATTTAAAGAGTTTACACAAGTTTATCGACTGAGTTGGTGAAAATTGGGGATTAGTAGGAGCAGAAGTTAAAGTTGGAAATGTAGCTGAATGAAAAAAACAAAAGATGATTACACTGTAGTGACTTACTTGTATCACGAGAACACGACTGATTTAATGAAAACAATTATTATTACAACCAACTTTACCAGTGCTTGTTCAACTGTGCTAATTACAGCCATTTTGTGCTTCCATTACCTCCCATCATTGTTCCGCGGCTTTTGGCTTTGTTCGCACGTACTCCGTCCCCCTGCTTTCGCTTGTACCATTTCTTCGCACGATCTTGGTATTCGTTCGATACCACGAAATCACCAATTGAATAAACTTGATTCCAATCCGCCTTCTGAATTCTTTGGCACGTGTTTCTTGGTAGCGGTGTTCATAGTCAACTGGGACCCGACGCCACGCTACAACACTTTGTTAAAGTGTTTGTGAAATGAATTTTTAGGGCCTAAACCGAATTAACTACTAAGTTTTTATTCCGTAACATCTATATAGACCGAGATTACTCTTCTAAATACGTCCTCTTGAAGGTATACAATCATACATCCAGTCAGCCGCTTAAAGGACTTGCACATTTAAAGGCAAAGTTAAATTAAATTAACATCGTCCTGATGACAGAAAGCTTGCATTTTAGTAATGAATTCGACATGAAAAACTGAAAATACAGGAAATTATCGTTAACTGAACAATTTGCGGAACCATGCGATGACATGACCTAAATGTTACTGAAATCGTATTTAAACACACCTGCAGTTTACCAAACGACAGTTCATGAAGTGAAGAACCTAAAATATGTTACTAATATTATTGTCATTATCGGTAATGATATTATCAATATTTACAAATTCTAAAGTGCATAATTTTTTAGAAAGATGAGAATTCAATCACAATTTTGAATTTTGTAATTATTAGTTTTTCTCATGAGCAGAACGGTTATATTTGTGTACGTTCACATGTTTTACAAATCTGAATTTACTAATTATTGTCAAAGGAACAACGTAGAAACAGAACGTCGTCAGACAATGTAAATAGTCTAGGTGAATAATACTGATCTGGATACCAATATTTTACATTATAATCAATTTATTGTTAGTATAAGATATAGGAAACTATGCGGCACTGCCCAACGCTTTAATGACTTATTCAAGCTTTTATTCCTCTCGAATTCACCGGTCACAATAATGCAGTAAAGGGGTATAACTCAAAATTCCCGTAATTAGAGGATTCATAAACGAAACACTCTAAATTAGCAATTTCTTCCTTTAAAACATGTTTTTCAATAGCAATAAAAATGAATATCTATCCTACGATAATATTCAAAGTTATGGATTTTAAGGATCTAAGAGTGTGGATGGTAGAGTTTACTTTACTTGCTCGACTCTCTCAATGGTCGTGAAATCTTGTCTCCCAGAATCAGACATGATGCAGCTCAAATAGTATTTGTGGGTCTTGCCAGGTATATTTACCTTAAAGACCACTTGAAGACCCTTTCCTACAACACTAACGTGATGGAACGATTCAGTTTATCAGGAAATGTAGCCCGATGTGCCTATTGCTGACTGAGATTACATTCTTGTATGAAAACTTAATTTTTCTCTAACCATGTACCTCAAGTTTCTAAATTATTAGTCCTTAACCCTGTTAGACAAAAGATCATATTCTATTATCATTCTCTCATCAGAATGAGTTTAACTGATGAATATGCCCAGTACGAAATCTTTGGCAGAACCGAGAGTAATACTGTCAGGACAGATTTTAAAAGTGTCCTGAGGAAGCGGACACAGCTTAATCAAGGTGAATAGATGGTGAAATCATTTATTATCAAAAAAATCTGTAGAAAAACAACTAATGTCAATCATACATTTAAATCGATGGATATAAGCTGATGTCGAAATCTTTAGCTTACATACAACATTGAGATCTAGTTTGGTGTCATTTTTGCATATATTTCTTTAATTTAGAAAGGAAAACATAAGGCAGTTCGTGCTTTCGTAACGTAGAAATTCATTATTGGTCTGTTTAACCGTGGTTCCTTTCATTTATTCTTTAATGCCTGTTTTTAGTTCCTCCCAATTTGTGGAAATATACTGTTAACTACCTTACATGAAAAATATAAGAATACTTCAAAGGTCAGACTCCAAACAAGTTAAGGTATCCAAATTAAAGACCTAATTAAAGATTCCTAAATCATTTTACGCCTTAATAATAGAGCTTTTCAGAGGTGAAACACTGGTGAAAATAACGTCATCTACAATTCTGTGTATGCCCCTAAATATATGATATAGCTCAATCTCGATGCATGGATTTGATGCTGAATTCGGAAACAATGGACTTGAGAAATATCACTTATTCTTCACGTGCAAAAAGATTCTAAATCTGACTGCCGGCTGAGGTAGTCAAAATTACCTACCAAGAGTTCTTCAAAAAAATGACTAAAACGTTTAGAAAATTTTTGAACGGAATAGAAGAAACTTGCGCTTAACAGACTTCGGTGTCTAGTAGCAGTGGATCGCGGATACCTTCAGGTAGAAACCTAGGTAATTTTATCGATTAAAGAGGAAAAGGATGACAAAACTGGCAAATCATAGTAAGATGCTATCTTCAATCCTTAAGAATGTATCAAGTTCTTTCTCAAAGGACTACTGGAAAGTCTCTTGGTCATGATCAGTCGATGGTGAATTCCAGCAATTGACTGCTCTTAAGGAGTAGAAAGTATGCCTACAGTGTTATGCCGTGTTGTCTCCGGTTTCTGGGTGTTTTCTTTTGGGTTTGTGCTTGGACAAAGCTTAGGTAGGTGTTTAAGTGGATATGCAGAAGTATTTAGGATTCTGTAAGCCATTAGAGGGTCACCTCTAAGACGCCTGTGCTCTAGTAGGTAAAGGTTCAGTGATAGGAGGCGCTCTTCATAAGGTTTGAATTTGAGTCCCCGAACTGATTTCGTAGCTCACTGTTGGATACGTCCCAGAGTGTCCTTATCCTTTAGGAGTGAGGGAAGAAATGTTATGTTTTCGTACTGTAAATGGGGGCGAATAAATGTGCTGGTGATTATGTGGAAAGTTTTCCTATCGAACTGGCCGAAAATGCACTCCAAAGTTACTGGTGCGAAGTTTGCACGGGAGGCGTTTTTGTGGCAGTTGGAGTAAGACTTCGATTCGTAGAATACCAACACTTCCATACCTTTTCCAACTTGGTGTACTTCTAGGGGGAGTTGCCTAAGTTGTAGTTGTGTTCCGTAACATGTCTTAGATGGATTACTCTCCACTCAATCTTAAGGAATCATAACACTACTTCACTATAATTCACCAATATTTCCTTCCCTACCTGAAACTATCGGTGAGTCACGGGAAGTAGATACGAAGCCCGCTGACTACTGATACGTTTCCAGTAGAAAAACCACTCGAGAGGACTTCAACTCATTATAAAACATGGTAGACTCACAAAA